GTCTATCAGACAGCATTGTTGAAAGGCATCATTGCGTGTTAAATTCTTAGAAATAATCAGAGCAGATTTAGTCGTTTTCTTGAGCATAATTACAGCTTCTCAGGAAAAGAACATTACCAAATCCTTTGAAAGCTCTGATTAATGAGCAGTGAGACCTAATTAGCACACAGCAGCTTGCAGTCTTTTTTTTTTTTTTTTTTGGCTGTTTTTTGTTTTCTTTTTCCTTGAGATTAAGATAAAAAAGAAAGAGTCTTCTAAAGATAATTTCTCCCTTCTACTGTGGATTCTGGAGGACAATTTCAGCTGCCCTGAAACTTCCCAATACAGTTTATTATGCCGAGCCAACGGAAAAGCAGATGCTGAATTCAGAGATGAAACATTCCTTATCTGTTGCTTCCTGATTGTTGTTGTTGTTGTTAGTTACGAAGTCGTGTCCGACCCATCGCGACCTCATGGACAACGTTCCTCCAGGCCTTCTTGTCCTCTACCATCTTCTGGAGTCCATTGAAGCTCACGGCTACTGCTTCAGTGACTCCATCCAGCCACCTCCTTCTCTGTCGTCCCCTTCTTCTCTTGCCCTCCATCTTTCCCAGCATCAGGCCCTTCTCCAGGGAGTCCTTCCTTCTCATTAGGTGGCCAAAGTATCTGAGTTTCAACTTCAGGATCTGGCCTTCTAAAGAGCAGTCAGGGCTGATCTCCTCTAGCACTGACCGGTTTGATTGCCTTGCAGTCCAGGGGACTCGCAGGAGTCTTCTCCAGCACCAGAGTTCAAAGGCCTCCATTCTTTGTCGCTCAGCCTTTCTTATGGTCCAACTTTCACAGGCATACATTGCAACTGGGAAAACCACGGCCTTGACTATACGCACTTTTGTTGGCAGGGTGATGTCTGCTGTCTAGATTTTAGCAAAGAGAATGCTAGTCCAAGTCATGGGCAGATCCCCCCAGGAGGGAGAAGAAGGCTGTGCTGGAGTCCGTGGAGCACTTCCATTCGTCACCAGCAGTGCCAAAGTCACCTTGTGTTTTGACACTCCCGATGTTAACAAAACGACAGTTCTCCTGGCAGATGTTCCTCGGCCTTCGTAGTTCAATCCTGGTGGTGCTCCAAAAATCTTGAATAAGGCAGTCCTCACTTAATGACCTTTCTAAGTTACAATAAAGCCCCCCCCCCAAAAAAAGATTGTGAAGTTCCGATGGCTGCACACATAGCCGCCCCCATCCACCCTGCAGTCACACGATCCCGTTTTGGGTGTTTAGCAAACCGGCTTTATGGCAGTTTGCGGCGTTACACAATCGCGTGATCGTGATTTGTGACGGTTTTTTGTTGTTGGGGTTTTTTTTGGCTGGTTTCCAGCTCTTGCTCCCAATTTCCAGCGAAACCAGCCATTAAATAAAATGGTTTTTGCAGTGTTAATGAACGTTGCATTCACTGCCCTCAAAAATACCATAAAATAGGGTGTGTCACACGGTGACCTACTTAATGATCCCAACCCTATAATTCTGGGTTCAAATTATGGCTATAAGTCAAGGAACACCTATAAATGTAAGGCCAGTTCCACTACAGTACTATTACTGATGAACATCCATCCATAGATTTTTGCAGAGGCATGGATTTAACCGCCAGATTTATACAGATTAATCACCAAATTATGTTTTCTGAACAGGTATTTATTGATTTACTTCAGTTCTAGGCAGCGCAGCAAGGTGAGGGTTTTTTTCACCCAATTTTTTTATTCCAGTGGACAGAATGGTGTCGGATTCTTACATACCTCTTCTTTGTTAAATATAACTATCTGGTTTTTTTCCCCTAGATCATATTTATAGCATGTGGTTTTTTTCCCAACGTATGGCTAAGCCTTCTACATGTAGTAAAACTTCATACATATCGGTCCGATGTTCAGTATATCAAATGATAGGGAGTGAATTGGCCCACAGATCCATAGTATGCTTAAAATATCGGCACTCTGAAACCAAGTTTTGATTATAGTTGAGTAGCACTACTCATAAATGAAGACCGACTGTTCTCCTACTTCAGTGATGGCGAACCTTTTAGAGACCGAGTGCCCAAACTGCAACCCAAAACCCACTTATTTATCGCCGGGTGCCAGGTGGGCGTGGCCCACTGGGTGGGCATGGCTGTGGTCATGGCAGACTGGGTGGGTGTGGCCAAGGTGGGCGTGGTCACCTTGATGTTGCTCGTGGAGAGAGATTCCTGTGGGGGCCGGGCAGGGTTGGGGGAGATCCAGGGGATCTCTGGCAGGTGGGGTGATGGGCAGGAGGCTCGTCCTGCGGGGTGAGGCTGGGCAAAGCGAGGCAGAGCGGGGGTGCCATTGTCGCAAGGCGAGGCATGGGCCGGGGCGGCTGCTGTCTGACACCATTGGCCCCTGCACACAGAAGCCAGTGAGCGCATGGGGGCCACAGCCTGCCGGCCCCTCGACCGGCGCACTCTGGGGCTCCGCAGCCCACCGCCAGCAGTTCAGAGAAGTCACCTCTGAGCTGGACGGATGGCTGACAGCTGAGAAGGCGATGCAGTGGGTCGTGCCCGGGAAAAGGAGAGCATGCAAGGCCAGGAGGGATGGGATTGGGGGGAGGGAAACCAGCCATGCTGGGATTCATCCAGCCACGTTGTCAAATGATAACTGCTCGGTGGGTGGAAATTTCAGATCTTAGCATGATGTCATGGTTCCAACTAATGAAACACTTCGAAGAACTTCCAGGCATCTTATCCTAAAAAGTCTTTTTTATTCATGTGACAAAATGTCGGCACGGCATGATAAAAGGGGATGCTAAGATCTGAAATTTCCACCCACCGAGCAGTTATTTTTCCTAGCATTTCCCCTCCCTTATTCTGCTGTCATGATTTACGTTCCCCAGTTAGTTTGAAGGGCAAAGGTTCTCTTCCGTCCTCTTTCGCTGGGCTTTTCCCTCCTCCCTCATTCTCCTCTGAATTAACTCTAAAAGTACCAGACAGTTCAGCATAATTTGTCAAAGCAAGAATATTCAATATTAGCAGCGTTGACACACGTGGGACTTTGGCGAGTTAGTGGGCGGCTGGTTGAAGAGGGAGGGTTGCCATCTCTGGGGCATGGCGCGCTTGCCCACAGAGAAGGCTCTGAGTGCCGCCTCTGGCATGCGTGCCATAGGTTCGCCACCACTGTCCTACTTATCTTAATTTGGGGACACAATGTTGCTTAACAACAAAGTTATGTCAGTGCTGAACAAATGGGACTTAACTCCTAGTCCCCCAAAGGTATGGATGGACACGCGATCAAAATTGGCACACTTGACGGCCCGGCCACACTTCTGACCCCAGGACTGCTTCAACTCCACTTGTCTATCTCCCCACCGCCTCTCCCCTTTTTTGGTCACCCTGCGTGGTGGTGCTGGGTCTGAGGTAGAAGGTCCCAGAAGCTTTCCGAAGGCTTTCCAAAGCGTTGTGAGAGCAGCCCGCACGATTTGGAGAACGGTGGGGTTGGCCTTCTTGCGAGGTATCAGAAGGCACCAGAAGCCTTCTGAAGCATCTCGACAGGGGCACGGGCTATTGAGAGCAGAGGTCCCCAACCTTTTGGGCACCAGGGACCAGTTCCGTGGAGGGAGGTTTTTCCGCGGACCGGAGGGGGGCGGCGTAGTTTTGTGTGCTGCCTGCAACTCGCGGATGGGGCTTTGCTTGTTTGTGTGGACCGGTTGCTAACATGGCACGGCCTGGTACCGGGATTGGGGACCCCTGATTTAGAGAACGGCACAAGCAGCCATGGGAAGAAGGCCTGGCATGGGCAGGAGCTGCCTTGCGTAGGGCCAGGCTGGGCGCACCTGGTCAGCAGCGGGAGAAAGGCAGCGAAGATCAGCTGGATGCGGGCAGGGCCTGCAGAGCGCAGGGTGGCAGGACCTGCTCCGTGGTGTTGAAATGGCTGTTTGCTTTCACAGGGATGGAGGATGCACTTCTTGGCAGCGGTGCTGGGGCTTAAGTAGAGGACTGGGAGGGGGGGCAGTGCCAGCTGACCACTGAAGGCCCCAGGCCTCTCCTTCAGCTTCAGTGCCACCGCTCCCGAGGAGTGCTGCTTGTGCAGGTAGCCAAAATGGCAGATAAGGGGCAGGGAGGGGGGAAATGGGGAAGGAAGCCCCTTACCTTACCAAGACTTGGGGCTGGAAAGGACCAAGTCAGGAGTGGTTGGGATTGGGGTGGGTCCTCACTTAATGACCAGTGGGTGTCATGGTTCCGACAGATGAAACTCTTCAAAGAACTTTGAGGCATTGTTGGCCTTAAAGGATCTTTATTTGAGAAGCATAGCATCGGCATTAACCCAATCGAAGCCAAAATCTGGATTCCCCTCCCCTGAGCACCTAGTATCAAAGCACAATTCCCTCCTCCAATTCACAGTCATAAATCACATTCCCCAATTAGCTTGAAATGCAGGCTTTCCCTCCAGTTCTCCAGCCCGCCAATTCTTACCATCTCTTATTTCATTAACCTTGGTTCTCACACCAAGTACGGTATTGTTATGTCTTTCTGAACTCTCATGCACATTCCTCACACACACCCCCCCACAGCATCATCTAACTCTAAAAGGAAAATAGAAGAAGAAAATGGTTGCCTTTCTACCGTTGTCGAAGCAAAAACATCCGGAACGTTAGCAGCGTTGACAGCGGGGGTTCTGTTAACGACCGCACTGGGAACTGCCGAGATTGCCATCATTGAGCAATGTAGTCCCAGACTTGTCTACAGAGGAATTTCCTGACAGAACAATTGATCAGTGGTAGAGCTTGACCCTGGAATTTTAAGGTTTTGAAGTTGAGACTGGACAGCCACTTGCCTGAAGTGGTATAGGGTCTCCTGCTTGTGTAAGAGGTTGGGCTAGAACAAGGCTTTTCAACCAGTGGTACGGGTACCACCTGTGGTACATTGGCACCTGACAGGTAGTACGCGACCATCCTAGAAAAGTGGTAGCGGGGGAGGGGAATGAGCTGAACCGGTGGCAGCACCGCACAAGCCTGAGTGAGAGATGGCTGGAGCTGCAGGGCTGTCGGGGCTCAGCAGAAGCACCAGGATCAGTGTCACTTTCCAGCTGGAGCTCGGCGCTGATCCTGGCGCTTCTGCTGAGCCCAGAAGAAGCGCCAATCAGCTGGAATGTTGCAGCCTCTCCAGGGTCTTGTGATTTACATTCAGATGCTTGGCAATTGATTCATATTTATGACGGTCACAGTGTCCCAGGGTCATGGGAAGTGACCAAAACCTGCTTCAACCACCCAGCAGACGGGGCGAATAAAAACCAAACACACCCCACCCCATCCCTGCTGCCAATCCTCAACAGAAATGCTCACAACAATGAAAACCTCAGACAGGAGGAAGAGCGCTGCCGGATGGGCAGGCAGGTGTCTTGCTCGGCTGTGGCTTGGGGGGCCCTTTTTTCAGTGCCATTGTAACTTCAAACAGTCACTAAGCGAACTGTTGTAAGTCGAGGACTACCTGTACTTCATCACTTTTTTCCTTTTTTGGGGGGGGGGTCATCAAGTTTTTAACACCTTGCTAGGCGACTGGTGGGACTCGGATGTTGCCATATCCTAAAAGTGGTACAATGGGTGAAAAGGTTGAAAAGCCCTGGACTAGAAGACCTCCAAGGTCCCTTCCAACTCTCTTATTCTATCTTCTACTTTCTACTTCCGGCTTCTGTAGTAAAAGTTCTTGTGCCTTCTGTAAGTTGTAATATCCAGAAATTTAAGACGGTTGCCTGGTACAAATTGAGACGAGGAATGTAAAACTAAGTAGGCCGTTCTTCTTTTTTAAAATGTCTCATTTCGGAAGAAGATGGTGTATTGTTGATTTCTTAAATTTCTTTCTTTTTCTAGCCCAGCAGACCCGGTTATCCCAGTCCAAGATCAAGTGAAGGATTTTATCCCAGTCCACAGCACATGATACAACCCAATCACTACCAGGTAAAACAACACAGCCCCTCTTCCATCGCTTTAATACTTTACAGTCCAAAGTGTTTGTAGGAGGAAAGAACAATATTATTTATGTTCGGGGGCTTGGTGTTTTTTTTTTTTTTTGGTTTATTAACTAGGTTTAAAGATATATGATTCATATGATTAAGAGAGCAGCCAATACAAGTGTGGACTATGAGTAATCATGATGTATTTCCCAGAGAATTTAAAGTACGCCCTCCTTTGGACTGAGGGCAGGAAAAAAAACCCCACATTTAATTAATATTACATTCAATTAATAGGATTTTTTTTCCTATTACGCCTTTCAAAATTTGGTTACTCTTTCACACTGAAAGTTAGAATTTGGCCAAAGCTTGTAGAGATCTTGTGAGACTCACCCAAGGCTTTTGAGGACTATTTGTAGTCCTGAGTCCTTTTAGAATCATTTGGGGATAAACAGGGAGTTAAAAATGAAGCACTGTGAAGGGACGTTGAAGGAGCAGGTATCCCTTTGAAAAAGGCAAGCCCTCCCCCCATTATAACAGTCTCCCAAATTTTGATCTCACAACTGTAGGGATACTGCAACAGTTATACATCAGGACCAGTCATAAGTCAATTTTTCTCGTGCTGTTGCAACTTTGAACAGTTGCGAAACGAAGGGTTGTAAGTTGAGAACCACCCGTCCATAAGTAGAGGTCCAGACCTTTTCCCTCAAGTCCAGATTGAGGGACATGAAATACGGGATTTAAATACCCCTGCTTGATCCAGAGAATTTGCCGTTCTCCCTCTTTGATCGTGCGCTAAGTTGCAAAGGTCACATAGACTTGAAAGTAATTTAAGATTGCGCCTCCTTACGTACCGTTCAATCTTTTAGAAAGACTGTATTATCTGAGGATTTCCTCACAGAATTGTATACTGTCGCCCTGCCTATTTAACTTATATGCAGAGCACATCATGAGAAAGGCAGGGCTAGATGAATCAAAAGTTGGAATTAAGATTGCCGGGAGAAATATCAACAACCTAAGATATGCAGATGATACCACTCTAATGGCAGAAAGTGAAGAGGAACTAAAGAGCCTCTTGATGCGGGTGAAGAAGGAGAGTGCAAAAGTTGGCTTGAAACTCAACATCAAGAAAACCAAAATCATGGCATCCGGCCCTCTCAATTCCTGGCAATTAGATGGGGAAGAAATGGAGGTAGTGACAGATTTTATCTTCCTGGGCTCCAAGATCACCTCAGATGGGGACTGCAGCCAAGAAATTAAAAGACGCTTGCTCCTAGGGAGGAAAGCTATGGCAAATCTAGACAGCATACTAAAAAGCAGAGACATCACCCTGCCAACAAAAGTGCGTATAGTCAAGGCCATGGTTTTCCCAGTTGCAATGTATGGCTGTGAAAGTTGGACCATAAGAAAGGCTGAGCGACAAAGAATGGAGGCCTTTGAACTAGTTGCCTTTTGGAAAAAGCACATTTAGGACAACCAGTCGCAGCTGGCGTTCAACAAGCACATTTAGGACAACCATGACCTGGATGACTCTCTCTTTACGACTGGCTGTCAGATTTACTACTATTGTAGTATCCCTTCAGTCATTTGATTTCAATCGCAGCTGGCGTTCCAACAAGCAAACGCAATGGCGATGTCTCATTTAACAACGGTGGTGACATCATAAGTCTGGCATGTTCACACGTTTCACTTAATTCACGCAACATTTTAATATTTCACCACTCTTCCTGCAATTAGTTTTTTGTTTGTTTGTTTGTTTAAGTGACTCAAACCATTTTAGGCAAGAATGGGATAAAATAGCATTTGTTTGATGCTCTGTGAATCATACTCGGAGTATCGGGGGGAAAAAAGTCCCTAGGATCTTGTCTGAGTTGGAGGCCAGATGGGCTGTTTCTGTGGAATTGACTGAGATTACCTTATGTGAGGTCATTCAGGATGAGTGTGAGCTTGTTCAAATGAAGAGGGCTGGGTTTCTGAGGATACTACGCTTGTGAAAGCCTCTAGGCAGGTGATGGGAAGATGGATCACACAACATGGAAAATGCTTTCTTGGGTGAGAGGGTAACGCCTCCAGCCTTGGTGGATCTTGCTATGCCTCCTGTCAAGAAATCAACGTGACCCAGTTGACTGGAAGCATTTATAATCTAGTCTTCAGCCTTCTTTTTTTGTTGAGAAGGTGGTAGGTTTGCAATGACAGCTGGCCAGAAGGACGTGGATGACCCTGACTCTTTTTTTAGTCTGGGTTCTTCTTTCTTCTTGTGCCATATCCGTTATCGGACGTTGGCGATCATGTTGGCGATCCTGTTTGTATCAGCAGCCGCACGAAAAAGTGCTGCTGAGTTTTGTCCAAACCAGTCCTTTAGATTTTGAAGCCACAATGTTCTTCTTCTGCCTGGACCTCGTTTGCCTTCAATCTTTCCCTGGAGGATTAAATGGAGTATGCCGTATGTATCTGGGTGTCGCATCACATCTCTGAAATATTCTAATTTTCGTTTTTTAATTGTTTTGATGATTTCCCTTGGCTTTCCCAGGCGGCTGATCACCTCCTCATTTCTGATCTTGTCAACCCAGCTTCTACGTAACAGCCGCCTGTAAATCCCCATTTCAAATGCTTCTAGTTTCTTCAGGTGGCCTTCTGTTAGAGACCAAGTCTGGGTTCAAGGGCAGTTAAACTACATGGAGTATACTTGTGGGTGGCTTTCGGTGGGAGGGACACTTTTGTGGTACTGCTTCACCTCTCTGTGACTTTTGAGGTCAATGACCAAGATACCTTTATGGGCCAGCACTAGAAGTTGGGAATGGGAGAGACCCTTCTGCAGCAGTTATCCCAACTTAATGGGATGGTTCCAGTCTGTAGCGCTGGTGGAGAGAGATTGAATCCAATGGCCGTCCATCATGAGGTCCCTCATGATTTGGTGCTCTCTCCATTCCAGTTTAACAATGACATGACACTGCTGGGTGATGTTATCTTTAGGAGGTTAGGCACCATCCGTTTGCTATCCAGTTGAACCCCAAGTTGAACAGCTGATGCAACTGAGTTGCTGTTGAAATGCTTGGAAGGCTGTCAGGGTCTGGCTAGGATAGGATTTATTCCGGCAAGTAGTTACGGGGTCAGAGGCCGTCTGACTGTAGAGATATGCATGTCTCCAGTCATGCTCTACACCAGGGGTCTTCAAACTTGGCCCTTTTGTGACTGGTGGACTTCAACTCACGCTGGCTGAGGAATTCTGAGAGCGGAAGTCCACCAGTCACAAAAGGGCCAAGTTTGAAGACCCCTGCTCTACACTGGGCTAGCTCCTACTTTGGAGCTCCTCCTAGACTCGCAGCTCATACGTCACATTTTGATTGCAAGCAACAGTGCCAATCATTTTTTCCCCCCTCCGATTACTTTTCCACATCTCTCCTGCCACTGCATTTATTTTATTTTAAATTCCTGCAGCACGGGAAGTTCTGGTGTAAGACTTCATAGTGTCCTGAAGCCTTTCTCTGTGTCTTTCGGTAGGTTTCAGGCTATCCCGGTTCCCATGGAATTCCATCCCTGGCAGGTAGCATTTATCCAGGACAAGCTTCTCTGTTGGATCAAACAGATTCCTGGAACCATCGGCCTCAAGAAATATCCATGTGGCAACCCAACATGGAGGTAATTTCCACCCAGTTACTTCACAGACCTTTCCCCCCTTTTTTTTTTGAAGTGTCTCTGTGCTGATGCACATATTATAGCACCAGCAATCGCACTTAGACCAGTGGTGGCGAACCTATGGCACGCGTGCCAGAGGTGGCACACAGAGCCCTCTCTGTGGGCACACACGCCACGCCCTGGAGATGGCAACCATCCCTCTTCAACCAGCCGCCCGCTAACTCGCTGAGGTCCCACGTGGCCAGATGCATCCCAGCACCCATGCGCTCGCTGGCCTCTGTGTGTGGGGGCCGATGGTGTCAGGCAGCAGCCGCCCCAGCCCCTGCCTCGCCTTGCCCTGTGACAATGGCACCGCCACCCTGCCTCACCTTGCCTCGCCTCACCCCGCAGGACGAGCCTCCTGCCCACCGCCCCACCTGCCAGAGACCCCCTGGATCTCCCCCAACCCTGCCCGGCCCCCACAGGCGTCCCTCCCCACGAGCAACATCGAGGTGATCACGCCCACCTTGGCCATACCCACCCAGTCTGCCATGACCACCACAGCCACACCCAACCAGTGGGCCACGCCCACCTGGCACCCGGCAATAAATAAGTAGTTTTTGGTTTGCAGTTTGGGCACTCGGCTGTCAACGCTGCAAATACTGTATATTCTTGCTTTGACAATATGCAGAACTGTCTGGTATTTATATAGTTAAACCAGCAACTGGGAAAGAGGGAGGAGCATAAGGATAGCAGGGGAGAAAGAAACCGGAAGTAAATCACATCTTCCAAGTTGATTGGAAGATGTGAACCATGACCCCAAAATAAGGGAGTGGGAAATGCTTGGAATGTTATGCCTAACGGAAGAAAAGCCAGACCTAAGCATTTCCACCATGCTGTACTGACGTCTCTGTAACCTTAATAAATGCTTTTAGGAGAAAATATGCCTGAAAGTCCTTTTAAGTGTTTCGTTAATCAGACACATGACATTGGCCTCTAAAAGGTTCGCCATCACTGACTTAGACGTACTTAGACGTACAGTGCTTTACAGCCCTCTCTTAAACAGTT